ATTTTTAAAACGGTATACCTAGTTTGTATGAATGCACTCTCAGGACTGACACGATATTCCAATTTATATGATACCCAGAAAGCTAAACGGGTCCAAGTAATGCAATAGCTCAGTTTTCACTCATGCAGGTAGACTGAAAGTGCACAGCTAGCTTCCCTGCCCCAGGCTTTTGAACACTACAGATCAGAACGATCTGACGTCACCGACAGGCTCGTGACTGTATGTCTCCGTCTCCCCAGTGAAGTACGTGAACGCTCATACAGGTGTGGTGTTTCTGCGATGCCGAAAGAGATACTATCGACTGATCTGGTCAGCCCTGGCCTTCATCACCAGCCTGGACAGTCGAGGGAAGAAGATCCCTTGTTTTTTCAACTGCCTACATGTAGGAGGTGGGAGATGAGTTTGCTGTCTTGGATATACGCACAGGATGCAGCATGTCTGTCAGATTACGTCCTTGGGAATGTGATAGATCAGCCTTATAAATATTGAAATGTTAATGTGAAGGCACTGTGAAAATGGTTTTCCTTGTCTTTCAGGAACGATTAGAACATGCCAGAAGTTCCTGATCCGTTACAACACTGAGCAGCTCCATCGCATGCTTCCCCGCTGTCGGAACGAAGGTGAGCAGTGCTTTGTGCAGGTTGAAGCAGACGTTAATTTTACAGACTAAAGACTGCATCCTTCTACTTAAGTAATCACTGGGGGTTGGTTCTCCCATGCAATTAAACCACAGAAGTTTTGTAGCTTTTAAAAAAATTTTTTTTTAAAAGCTTCCATCATTATTTCAGAATTGTAGATAAATGATTATCAATATCTAAGACTTTGTGATTGATATCATTGGTTATGGGTTAAATAGTAGGGATGCTCCGATCAGGCTTTTTTGAGCCGTGTTCAAAAGACATTTAATTGTGCAGTAACTTTTTAAAAGTGTTCTATTAATTGTGTAGCATTATTTATTTACATGTATAGCAATAAGAGTAACTATTAGCAGCACTGGAGATATATTATGAGGAAGCATCATGAGTTGCCAACTGTTTGTTTATTACTGGAAGGCTTCTAATCTCTTTCTCATTCTAATTTTTTCTGTACGTTGTCAAGTATAAAAAGACCCAAAATGAACGCTGTTCATTTCGCTGAGCCAATATAGTTGATTACTATAAGCAAATCATTTAAACAGCTTCACTATAACTGTGATCACTATAAGCGGTTTCCACTGTACAGTGTTACCTCGGTTCTCGAGCTTAATCTGTTCCGGACTTCGAATCGAATCCTAAAAATCGAATTTTTCCCATAAGAAATAATGGAAAACCAATTAATTGGTTCCCGGCCCCCCAAAATTACACCTAAATATGTTTTTTTTTTTTTTTTTAGCATTTAAACACAAAATGAACACGATAAAACAAGGAGAGCATTTTTTTCTTAATGGCTTCCAAAACGATAAAAATCTTATCCCAACATTACCCCTGTCCTGCCCCGGTCGTCCGCTCCTTCCGTGTGCCACGCCCCCTCGTTAACCTCGTGTGGGATCCCCATGTGATCAGCTGTTTCTGGCTGTTGTCATTAGTCCTCTGTATTAAGTCCGCGTTTCAGTTTGTTTCCCCGGTCCAGTCATTGGGTGCGTTCGACTTGCTTACAGTGCTGGCTTAAAGCAACACATTCTGATCCTGACGCAATGCATTACTGTTAGATGCATTGCAACCTCTCACCCGGCTGCACAAACTGGAACCGCCTCCCTGACGACACACCTTTGCCCTTATTGGCTGAAGTTTAGTTACACGCATGACGTTTGTATCCCAGGCAGTTCCGATGTGTAACCTGCTATTTCTCCCGAATATCACGTAAAGCAGTGAGAACTGGTTTTCAGTTAATTTACCTGTTAAAATAAAGTTTAAATAAATGACATAAATGCTCTAATAGTACACGTAAGTTAGTGGTTTATTTATTGTTAGTTACTGTAATGTTGAGCTGCTTTATTTGGTTAATCGTCCAGTCTGTGAAGAAGGCATTCAAGTAAGAATTGCATTGTAGTATGACTCGTTTCCTGGCGCGTCACAATTTATATTAGGTCAGCGTTCACGGTTCGACTTCTGATATTCAGATCGAGTTCTAGGTCAAACTGGTTTGTTTGACTTTAAAGAAATTTGAGTTCTAGTGAGTTTGAGAACCGAGGCACCACTGTATAGGTTTAATACAGATTAAACAATGTTAAATGCTACAGTATTAATGATCGATGGCTGAACGATCGGAGCATCCTTATTGCATAGTATGGTATCTTGAGTATTTTCTGTGGCTCCACAGCTGAGCGGTTGGAGGTACAGAAGGCAGTCCGAAGCTGCTCTCTCAAGTGTACCAGACGTGAGGAAGAGGAGGAGGACGAGTGGGATGAAGATAAATAAAGCCTGTAAGCAGATTCAGCAGGATAGTGTCACCCTGAATGTGCAGCTCTGAGCTCCAGGTTGTACTTGACCATTTGTGTGAAGTTTGTATTTAAAGGGAGAGATTTTTTGTGTGTTTTAGTATTATGTATGTTTTTCTAAGAACTTTGGGCCACTGTGTGTATACAGTATATTTGTATTTGTGTCCAGATAAGATGCTTATTCTGTATTTACAGTAAGAATACAAATCTGACATTTACTTTTGTGGTTTAATTTACAAGTATTTTATTGCATGTATCAAGGTTGTCTTTATGCCTAAATAAATTCTTTTATTCAGAGACTTGGAGGTGTGCCCATTAATGCAGCTTTATAAAAGGGACTTGCTCACCTTTTAAAACTGAGTTATATATGATGGAAAATATGTCTCCCAAATATGGCAATTGGGAGGTTGGGATTTGTGTGAATTTCATTAGTTATTTTACATAAAAGGTATTTCAACATAATTCAAGCTTGGAGTACCTGACATCTGGAAATCAGCAAGAGCAGTTTATGATGGAAGTGGCCACATTTTCTTTTATCTGATAAACGATATTGTGATGTCATTGCCTGATGATGTCATTGCGTGGTGCCGCAAACCCCATCATTATGTAGATTACTCAATGTTGAGCAGATTTATTGGTCATGTTGGTGAGAAATATGATTAGAAATTTGATATCTGATAACCAAACTAAGCTTTTATTTTTTGAAAATAATATGAAGACACTTTTATAATAAATATCTTGATTTTTAAACTAAACACTTTAAATCCTTGAATACTTGCACTTCATTTATTTTCTTGTTGACTAGCAAAACTACACATTCTAACCAATTATACTTTTAATCTGTGCTAGTTGGTTAACATGCTACATAACTGATCAATAATTGTGTACAAGCTAATAAGGTATATCATACATGCTATCTTATTGAACAATTGCAACTTGCAATAGAATAGGCACATCTCTGTCCAGGCTACTGTGCTGCATGAACAGATATTGCCATTGTTCTCCCTTGCACTGCAGTGCACAGCTTGTTAGCTACTAATAATAACAAGCTTAATAACAAGGCAGACAGATCGTGTTGTGACAGTTTTTTGTGTCATTTAGAGAGAAAATGCTTGCATTTTAGTGTTTGAGTAACACATCAAACGTTGCTAAAAGTTACAAGAAACTCTAAAAGTAGCTAAATTTGTTGCTAGTTGCTTTTTGCAAAAAAAAAAAAAAAAAAAACTAAGTTGCCAAGTCTGGAAAAATTGCTAAACCCAGCAACAAAATTGCTAAGATGGCAACACTGACACAGACACTTACCCTCCAAACTGAGCACTTGGGCAAGAGGTCAACTGGTAAGAGATCCCACTCTGAGGAGAAAAACTGCTGAAAGAGCCATTGAGTTTAGTGGCTTCATTGAGAGACAATGTGCACCAGGCAATCATCTCTAAAATCCCATATCAAAACTTAACAACAAAACAAACATCCTTTTTGTTTGTGCCAGTTCAGGGACATTGAAAACCATCTCTTCACCATCCCTGTCTTGCTCTCCATAGCTTGGGGGTTACAGTGCAGAATCAGCATCCCTATAGCTGGGGGGGTCAAGGGCTTTGCTCAAACTGGTGACCTTCTATTCACAAGCACAGAGACATTCACCCCCCCCCAACCCCCACCCAAGTGCTTGCAACAAAACACATGAGTAATCAGGCGAAATGGCAAGAGGCACTGTGGGCTGCTGAGACTGGATTTCATGCAAAGTGGGTATATCTGGCACAGACCCAACACAACACATCAAATCAGCCAGGTAAAGCCGTCCCTACAGTGATGCATGGTGGGAGCGGCATGATGGCATCACACAACCCTGGAGTGAGCAGCCATCCCTATGGTGATGCATAGTGAACAGATTTGCTAACAAGACTGAAACACTGACCTATATGTAAAGACCGGGAGCCTCTGCCAAAAGTGCTTGAAATAAATATTCAGTTCAAGTATTTGAATACTTGTGCAAACAAGTTTTAATGTTTCAAATGTTTTGTGATCTACAAGTTGTGGGCAGTGGTGGCTTGATGGTTAAGGAAGCGCACTTGTAATTGAAAGATTGCAGGTTCGAATTCCTGACCAGCAAGACACCACCCCCAAGCACTGCTCCCTGGGTGCTGAATTAGCTGCCCCCTGCTATGTCACGAAAGTCACATATGGGTTAAATGCAGAGGACACATTTTGTTTTTGCGCACTGTGTGCTGTGGTGTGTTGACAATGACCACTGATCACCAAATTCAATTCAAGTTAGTCTAAAATAATTAGTCAAATTCATTTTGAGGAAGCTGAGTTGATCTTTTTCACTTTTAGTTAGACTGTAATTAAACTGTTGTTGTTCAGTTCCTTTCTGGGACATATCTACTGGATAATCTTCCTGGCCCTAGGTGTGCCTACAGGTGTTCTAGTACGTGATGCCTAACATCATTGGCGCCTTCCCGTCTGATTCAGGTGGCTTTAAATGGTCGACACAATGCAGTAAACTACATTATCCATAACGCAAAAGAGGCTCCACTGAACTTCATTTCCCATAATGCACGGACGGCAAACTATAAATAATAGCTTCATCCGGGTCTCAGTGGTTCCAGTTTGGCGACTCGTCGCCATTAGTATTTGCTCGTTTTTACGAGGGTATTCTTTGGACGATTAAAAAAAATAAACGCGACAATTTGCCCGTTCTCCATTCACTGGAGAGCGGCTAACAACTTTTTTTTGGACTCGGTGCTCCCTTGCGAGGGAAACGCTCGGGTTTCTCGGGGTGTCGGCCCCGAAGCGTGAGCGCTCGTTTACTCCGTCGCCACCGCCTCGGTTCTTCCTGCACTGAGACGCCTGATCCGTCTCTTTTTTTCTCGGTTTGTTTTGCTCTCATGATGTCGCCGTAATGGAGTCTCCGCGTGTGACAGAAATGAGCCAGGGCCTTAGCCGCCTGACCCGCACTCGCAGCAGCCCGTTGTCCTACCCCCGTGCCCCGTTTAATGTTAGAGAGCTCGAACGCTCTCTGCCCGGAGTCCGGCCTCGTACATCCGCAAAGCAGCAGCGCCAACATGGAGAAAACACCCAGCAGCAACGCCAGCAACAAGGGACCGCCCCGCTCTGGTTCGACCGGCCCAACTCCTGGCGAGTCTAAACCTAAAGCAGGTAGTTATGTCGGTGGGGGGAAGCGTCGTTGCAGTAAGTGCCAGCTGCCCTATCTGTTCGACAACTCGAGGCCGAGGCTTGACAGCGCGGCCAGGCCCGTCCTGGCCGGATTGTTTACCTCGTGTGACGGAAGCTGGCTTCGCTCGCTGGGACGAGCCTTTGGACGCGTTACTTTGGTTTTAGCGAACATACTCTGCTGATCAGTTTCTGTATGTTTTTAAAGGTGCTGTAATATCATTCATCCCTTTACTTTCCCCCAGCATATTCGTTATTCACTCTTGCAGATGGAAAGTAGAACTCAATTCTTTGACTTCTGAACACATTATTCTATTTAAACGTTATTTTCCCTGCATGGATCATGTCATTCATAGCTTTCACCGTAAAGCTTTTTTGATCGTTTATTCAGTGCAGTATCAGTGCTTTACAAACCCATTTGTTTGTAATTTATCAACAGAAATCCCTGGTTTAAGTTGAGCAATAACGGTCTACTGTTTAGTCAAAGCAGCAAGCCCCTTTATATTGAATTAACGTTCAGCGCTGGCAGATTTTAAAATTCTTTCTCCCCTCTAAATAGTTTTCACTTTTAAACAGGGTGTCAAAGTGTACTGGTAGTTATTTTTTTAAAACATTAAATAAAGCAAATGAATTGTCCAGTTTTCTTTGTTTCATAGGCTTGTCAGAATCAAATGGCTGTTGTTGAAATATGTATTTTGCCGGCCAAGCCTTTATTTCAATTAGGCAGTTGAGGTAAACAGAAAGGACAGTGTCAGGATACAGCCCTTCCATTAAGGCTGAGTAGTGTAGCTCCAAAGCAGTTTATGGGCTGGGTGCCTGTGATGAGAGTGATGATACCTGCATTATACAGTGATTATAAATAATGCCTGTGTCTGCCTAGTATGCATGTGAGTCCACTGGGTAGCTGGGACTTTGTTGTTTTGACTGCAGGGGCTTGATATCGTCGCATGCATGAGGCTCACACCCTTTTGGCTTTCACTGATAAATGTGAACAGCAAGCTCAAGTGAGTGTGCTTGGGAAGAAGTCATAAAGGCCTCAAGATGCCACACCCAAGGCTGACATTTTAATCCACTGTGGACTCCGACATTTTAAACGTGCCTTGTCAGAGTCTGTTAGATGTCATCATAAACAAAACCTTGAATGTGGTCCCAAACAGGAACTGTAGCATAACTGGGTGTTAACATTAGGCAGCTGCTAATTACAGCTGCTGTTCATATTTTCTGATTATCATACAAAAGAGTGTGCATTTTAGCTGCTTATCCCTGCCTTGGTCAGGTGGCCCACAGTCTGTGTCAAGTCTTGAATACACCCTGACTGCATGTGTTTGTTTGTGAGAGGAAACCTGCGTGACACAGATACGTGGACACACACACACACACATTTAGTTTAAATGGTCTTGTTTTAAAAAACTATTACAGGAATATTCAGACAGTATTCCTTTTGACTGTGAAACCAAGAACAGTTTTGATTATAATTTAAGCAGTTTATGATAGTAGTATTACACTTCCTGTATTACATTAAGTTCTGGCTTTTCCATATTATACTGGATCGCTGAACCAACACTGCTTTGATTGTTCCAGCTTAAAAGTGCTCTGATCTGTGTCAAAGAGCTGGTCAGGCCGCTTGGGTCCGGTGCCTGATGGACGGCACTGACAGGCGACATGTTTGTGCCCCTTTTTTTCCCCAGATGCTAAAAATGGTGGTGGGCCCAAGCGCTATAACCGCAAGCGCGAGCCCGCCTTCCCCAAGAGTGACAATTTCCTTGGCCCACGGCGCCCCAATCCACAGAAAAGCAAGAATTTCGACAAGAGACCCCCTCAGAGAGGAGGGGGGAGTAATGGGAAGCAGTATGGCAGCACAGGTGGTGGCAGAAGGGAAGAGGTGAGGAAGCAGAAGTTTCACTGTGTGTTTAGCTCTCCGCTGGAAATGCCGTGGTTAGCTACTGAAACACACATCGCTTTAATCGCTTCATCGTTTGGCCTCTCAGACAGGATGTGGTGATTCCACTGACATTAATGCCTGTTAGTCTGTCATTTTATGAATCTTCAACATCTCCAGACACACTGTAGTTTAGATCCATGTTCTTCCTGCTGGGTCTGAGTGCTCCCCCCTCCTGCCCCCCCCCTCTCAGGTAGCAGAGGCTCGCCGGGCTGAGTTCAGCCCGGCTCAGTTTGCAGGACCCAAGAAGATCAGTCTCAATCACCTGCTCAACTTCACCTTTGAGCCACGGGGCCATGGAGGTGCTGCCGGGGGAGACAGCCACACCAGCTGGGGGCACCGCAACAAGTGGGGCCACAAGCACAAGCCCTTCAATAAGGAGCTCTTTCTGCAAGCCAAGTGAGAGCGCTAACCTAAAACCATACAGCTCCACCAGAGTATGGCAGCCAGTCCTGCAGAATGTTTTGGAACTGTATGTAGAGTCTTGAGGCTTAGGCCCAATCCCAATTCTATTTTCTACCCCTTTGCCTACCCCTCGCCCCTTCCCCTTGCCCCTTGAAATGAAGTGGAAAGGGGTAGGGTTAAAAAATTTCCCCTAAGAAATGGGACACCACTACTACACTGTTATACGTCATCATCCATTGTCACTACCTCCTAACGTTACGTCAGAGGACATGCGCCGATGTTTATCACAAATTCCAAGCTGTCGCCGTCAGCATCGTAGCATGTAAAGATTACTCACTCCCAAAGTTTTTTTGCGCCGTATTTGGACTTTAAAAACAGATGTTCGTTTTCACCTCGAAAACGTATGAGCCTTCGGGTTTCCTCAGCTGTCCCTATACAGAATATAATTTACAAAAATGTTGTCATGTTGCAATAAGTACGAATAGTGTAAGCACTGTTCATTTACATGTACACATATGGCCGTAAGCAAAACAAAACAACGCGTTACCACATGCAGTCAGTTACCGGGTAACGTTATATGACACAAAAATATATTTCCTAATATTGTGCAATCAGTGCTATCCGCAAGCAAACTTTAGCGATTTTTTTTTTCAAACGTTTCTTTACAGAACATCACCGTAAACACAAACACAAGATTGATGGTAATATACATGTAATGAAAAAATGTCATAAAAATCCTTATTAATGGCAAAAATTACTTAACATTTATGGGTCTGCTTGCTCGAGTGGGCAGCCATGTTGTAAACTTCTCTTAGCCCTTCGTTTGAAGTGAGGTCCCGAAAAATCTTTTGATGGCTATCTAGCCCTTCCCCTTACCCCTACCCCTCCAATCAAAAGAGAATTGAGACACCCCTACCCCTACACGTGAACGTGCCAAACGGAGGGGTAGGGGAAAGTGTAGGGGTAAGGGGTAGAATTGGGATTGGGCCTTACTCTCTTCCTCTTACAAGGCAGTAAAAGGTTTGGTCCTTTTGTGTCAAACCTGGCACCAGTCAGACCTTCTTCCTGCTCTTAGAGCCCAGCAGTGTTTCCAAATGTGGTGGGGCCACACCCCCTATTTAGATATAATGTCTGTTGCACATACATACCACCAGATTCAGCTGTTGCAGCGTGGCTGTATGGAGGATGGTGGGGGTGGGGGGGAGCATCCAGTGTTGATCTCACCCTGTCTTCTCTTCCCTTCCAGCTGCCAGTTTGTGGTCTCTGAAGATCAGGACTACAGCACACACTTCACTGACCCCGACACGCTGGTCAGCTGGGACTGTGTGCAGCAGGTGGTGAGTGTGCTGTCGTTTCCCGGCCCGGCACCCGCCACACTGTCTCCAGTCTGTCCTTTAGAACATGCTTGTGTTACTGTGTAGCTGTGGCCCTTCCACTGTACGCAGTGGTGCCTGATGCAGCGTCAGTGTGGCGTTTGTAATGTTGTGATAATGCGCTATACAAAAATAAATTTGTTGTTGTTGTTGTTGTTGTTTGGCTTGCTGGCCCCTGCCATGCTGATTGCCCCTGTGTCTCTCCCCCGTCCAGCGCATCTACAGCCATGAGGTGCCCTCATGCCCCATCTGCCTGTACCCGCCGTTGGCTGCCCACATCACCCGTTGTGGCCACATCTTCTGCTGGTCCTGCATGCTGCACTACCTCTCCCTGAGTGACAAGAGCTGGTCCAAGTGCCCCATCTGCTATGAGGCCGTGCACGACGGTGACCTCAAGAGGTCGGCAGGACGGCCGCCTCTGGGCTCCGCTCCGTCTTCCGTTGTTTTGCTTTCTGTCTTATTTTGACCCCCCCAAATCTCTTCTCTCCGCAGTGTGGTTGCCATGGAGACCCGGCAGTACCTGGTGGGTGACCTCATCACCATGCAGCTCATGCGACGAGAGAAGGGTGCTTTGGTTGCACTGCCCAGCTCCCAGTGGGTGAAGCTGGAGGAGCCCATTAAGCTGGGGGGTGAGACCCACATGCGCACACGCACACAGTCACTCCCCACCGGCACGCAGCAGCCGGATCCTCAGGCTTTATGGCCTTCATCCCACAGCTGTGGCTCCCCCACTGGCTGTGCTGTCAGCTCTCAACCTCAGGGGGCAGTGTGTGCAGCTGTTTGGCTGTGAAGCTCCCATTGTCCAATTAGAGGCATGAAATGGCCCACAGGCATAAACTCTGTGTGAGTGCTGAACGGCCAGCGGGTGTCTGAGTGGCAGAGACGTTGCTCGTCTGACGCGGCCTTTGTCAGTCTGCGGCCTGGGTGACGAGGATGCCGCTTTTCTCCCCCAAGATGCCATGAATGGGCTGGATTTTTCATTCCGCTGTTAACGATGCTGGCTGGCTATGACACGGTCTGACGTGGCGTGTTGGGGTCTTCCCCGCTGTCCTGTGCCACAGACGCTCCGCTCAGCCCCTACTCTAAGCTGCTGCTGGCGTCCCGCGAGCAGGTGCTGGGCCTGGTGCGGGAGGAGCGGATGGCCTTGCAGGCCCAGCTCTGCGTGGAGGACGAGCACGAGGCCCAGGCCTGCTTCATCCAGGCCGCCCTGCAGCTGCTCCAGGTGTGCCGTCTTCAGTCACCATCACAACGCTGCTTGTTACTGTCATGTTGCAGTAACATAGCAGGCACTTTGACCTGTAGGTTGTGGGTTTGAGTCCCAGTACATAATTTTTCCAGTGACGTAGCAAATGGGCAGGACTGTGACTCACTGTGTTTAAAATCTTTTTGCCAGTGGTGTGTCATAATATTCTGTAGAAGGAACTTGTTAGTGAGGCGTTGTCACAGTCTTTGCTTATGGCGGCTCCCTCTCCAGGAACGTGAAGAGGCACTGAGGAAGGCCAGCCCCCAGGATGCTCTGAGCCTGGGCCGCCTGAGCTTGTGCAGCTCCCCCGGCCGGGAGGCGGAGCTTCCGGCCCAGCCCGGCAATAAGAAGGTGGGTCAGGGGTGGGGCCCATAAAAGACTGGCCTCTACCACCCACTGTTAGACACTCTGTTAGTTAGGGGTCTTTGTAAATGGGTGAGTGCTTCAGCTAGATGGCTGTGATCACATACACCCCCCCCCCTCTACTGCAGAACTCGTCTGTCCTGGCTGGAGAGGTGGGGCAGACTGGGGACGGTGGGGGGCCCAAAGCGTCCCCCAAACTTCAATGCCAGTCCTCGGAGGACGTCCCTTCCAGCCCAAGCGAAATGACACCCCCCCAAAACGTGGAGAATGGGCCCTGCTACTACTTCTACCAGGGTACAGTGCACCCCCCCCCCGCCACCATCAGGTCTTTGTGTGTAAGCCACGGACGCAGGGCTGAGGATGGTAACAGCGCTGTTGGTCTCTTCCAGCTCCCCCAGCTTCTGCCCATAGCTTCCCCCCCAGTCCTCTGAGTGAGGTCACAGTTTGTGTTTGGGCCCATGATGCTGGCTATCTGGCCAACTAACCTTTTCCTGCCCCACCCCCCTACCCCCCCTTCACAGCGGAAGACGGCCAGCAGCTGTTCCTGCACCCGGTGAACGTGCGCTGCCTGATGCGCGAGTATGGCAGCCTGGAGGCTAGTCCCCAGTCCATCACTGCTACGGTGGTGGAGATTGATGGCCACACCGTCACTGAGGTGCGACGCGGGGGCGCTAGGGGTTCAGCTGAGTACAGGCCTCTAAAATGCATTAGAATGGTCAGTGATCTGTGTGAGAGTTTGACGAGTGCCCGCCCCCCCATGCCCCCACCCACCCACCCAGGAGGTACGCCGTCGTCATCGCTACCTGTCCCACCTGCCACTCACCTGCGAGTTCAGCATCTGTGAGCTGGCACTGCAGCCGCCAGTTCTGTCCAAAGAAACCCTGGACATCTTTGCCGGTGAGCCACCACTTGTTTCATCCTGGGGGGTGGGGGCTCGGGAGTTCCCGTGGCCTCCCCTCCCCTCTCGGTGTGTCTCCCCGTCACCTCCTCACTCTGAACATCTCCTGTACCCCATCAGATGAACTGGAGAAGCGACGGCGCATGCGGCAGAAGAAAGCAAGGGAGGAGAAGAGGAGGGAGAGACGCATTGAGATGGAGGAGAACAAGAAGCAGGGCAAATGTGAGCAGAGAAAGGGATGAATGGGGGGGGGTGGTGTCGGGGGCGTGCTGATCGTCTCGGCGTGACCTTGTCCTCATCAGCCACTCTGACACCCCAGCTATACTGGGATAAATGCAGAGAAAGCATGGAGTGAGCCTGTTGGCGAGGGAGCAGTGTGATCTGAAGGGTGCAGTGGCCTGCAGTGTAAATGGGGAACTGGGCAATACAGAAGCTGTTAAATAAACATGCCATTGTGTAATTGTAGTAAAGACAGACCACAGCAGATGAGTGCGGTTAGTGCGAGGCCAGGACGCTCTGGAAGGCTTAAAGCTCTTGCCGCCTGCGGTCAGTCGGGGCCCCAGTAGTGCTGTGTGACTGGGCCGCTGTCCCCTTAGACCCGGAGGTGCACATTGGCCTTGAGAACCTGCAGCAGTTCCCAGCCTTCGGCTCGCCCTTCCAAAGCGGGGACCCTGCGCTGCCAGCCGACCTCTTTCTGGGGCCGTCGGCCTCCCCCCTGTGCGGCAGCCCCGCCTCTGGTGAGTGAACTGCTCTGCCAGCACGCCAATGTGGACAGTGAGAACTGGTCTAGTGTAGCTCGTAGGAATTCAAGTCTTGAGCCGGCATCTCACCAGTAAATCACATGTGGTCCGCCCCCGCCCCCATACAGATGGCATCATGTTTCCGTCCCTCAGTGGGTCTAGCCCGGCCCTGAGCGTCGGCAGTGTCGACGATGATTCCCACTGCCTCTCCTTCGCTCAGGTCAGTGTGCAGCGTCAGCGCTCTGAGTGATGAACAGTAAACTGGTTACTCTAAAGGGCCATGAACTGTTATGACGTCATCAACACCTTCAACCTGGAGGCTGTCTGTGAATGTCCTAGACAGTATGTTCGAGGCTTAATGCAATACTGAAGCTGTGTAAATGTGTTAAAATGGCTTATTTCTAAATAATTAACTGTCATTAGGGTCTGTGTTTGTTTCACCAGCCGGGATAAGTGACTGTATGAAATGTGGCCTTTCCCACCTGCTCTGCTGTTAGATGCTGAGAGATGGCAGAGCCCGAGCTGACCCTGGGCCCAAGGCCGTCCCAAAGAAAGGTGAGCCAATGTGCAGGCAGCCACCGCTCTGTGCCTTGCTTCCGCACCGCATTCACATCAGGCCTCCCAACCCCCCCACAGCAGAGACGATGCTGGCCCCCCCAGCTGGCGACAGCGACGGGGAGAGCGACAGCTCGGACCGGGTCCCAGTGCCCAGCTTCCAGAACTCCTTCAGCCAGGCTTTCGAGGAGGCCCTCCTGCAGCTGGACCACGGCCGAGCCGGCCCACCCGAGCACGTCCTCATCCCTGGTTAGCGAGCGCTTGCCGCGGCCCTCCAGCTCACCGTGTTAGAATGAACCTTCTCCGGCTGCGTGTGTCTAACCTGGCCCTCTTCGGTTTCTCATCCTATCAGCTGAGGAGAAAGGGGGGGGGAAGAAGAAGAAGAAGAAGCAGAAGCTCTTGTTCAGCACCTCCATGGTCCACACCAAGTAGCCGGCACTGAAGCAAACGTCTGCCACAAATGCGATCTTCCCACTTTTTTTAGCATCTTAGCATTTGACACATTAATCAGTCCCAGCCTTAAGCTCAGCTCAATTTTGCCAAAGCAGTCAACATCCCCACCCCCCACTCCCACTCCCCTCATCTCACCTCCTCTGCTGTCACTTCCTCAAAGGGAATCTGTTTACAAATGCATTGCATAACACCTTGGAAACCTAACCTGAAGAGATGGTGCTTTAAACCATCTGAATTTTACACCCCTGCCAGTAGGGGGTGCTACTCCACGTGTTGGTTAATGTCCTACCACAGTTTTCCCCCAGAAGTGTCATTGATTTAGGGGTAGCAGTCAGCCAGCTGCAGGTCTCCTCCAGCTTCACAATGCACCTTCTGGTCAGAGGTTTGCTGTGAATGTCCTGTCCCCACCCTGAACACCTCAGCCATCCCTGAACCATGAATTATTTACATTTACATTTCTACAAGCAGCACCCCCATTTGCAGCTAAATGTACTTAAACATTTCACATTTATTCAGCATCAGTATCACATGCTTTGATCCTGGTTTTGGTTGTATTAAACTCCTTTCGTCCCTTTGGTCCTTTCAGCCTTGGTGGATGGACCCCGACGGCAGACACTGGAGAAAAACTTATTGGGGGGGGGGTGTGTATAGGTGAAGCTTGTACGGCCCGAGTGTATATTTTTCTGGATTTTGTTTTTCTTACCCCTCCCAGGATCGTATAGGTAAGGGTAGAGTTTGTTTCATAACCATTAGCCCTGGTCTCTTTAAGTGTTGCGGAGATATTTTAACATAGTTGGAGCTTGAGAATCGCTGATTCTTGAACACTTCGTTTGTACCATAATGCCCAGGTGAAATATGGATATGTAAAGAAAAACATGTTTCTAAAGCAAGTGTTTGGGTTTTTTTTTTTTTTTTGTTCCCCCAAGTTAAGAAACGGCTGAAAGTCTGAATAAATAATTGTGCACAATCAAAAGCAGTCTCTTCGTTTGTTGCTTCCAGGAACAAGTCAAGGAATGTCTGTTGATAAGCGGCGCAACTAGAGCGAATCGTTTTAATACGATTAGTGGTGGAAACGTAACAAAAAATATAAATGAACTTTGCCGGTGCCCTTTCTGAACTGCGAGTATGAGACAGGCCACAGGGGGGCGCCGTGCGCGGCCCCTGCCTCCGCCACCACCCTGCCCTGCGCTCCGGCGCTCCTCAGGTTGCCTCCGGGCTGAAGACCAAAACAAAGCAGCTTGTCTTTGGTGCAGCTGAGTCGGCGCTCCATTGGCCAGGCAGGCCGTAAGCAGGCTAGTGTGCGGCATGAAGTGGGTGGGGGGAAGGCCGAGGAGCCCGAGTGCGCCCTCCCCCGTCGGCTTCCCCGCTCGTCGGCGCTGAACCGCCTTCATTATCCTCGTTATTAGTATTTATTCGAACCGCTCCCCCGGGTGTGATCGCGGAGCCGCGCTGCTCCGGTTGCCGGACGCCAAAGGCATTCCTTTCGTGAACCCTCCCTCTGCCAGCCGCCACCAACGCTCAGGACCAGTCTCCTCGTTCCTGGGCGGAGGGTTGGTTGAGGAGCGAGGCCGTTGGCACGGGAGAGGCAAGCTAGAGAGGCGGAGGTAGCGGGCAGGTATGGGAATGTCTCACTGGAGCTAGAAGACGGCGGAGAAGCCGAGCCGTTCCTCATCGGCGCCCGGACAGTACGCACCGTCAGCCAGCCTCGGGGAGCTGCGCGGCTGCTCGCTCTCAACGGCCCATGTCACTGTACTTTGTGACTTCGGCAGGAGGCAGCGGACAGAAACTTTTCGCTCCTGTCAGGTAAGAGGCGCACTTCGCGTCCCCGCAGCGCGGACGCCTTTGCGGGATCGGGGTGAACTGGGTCCGGCTTTGGGGGTGGTGCTGGGGCGAAACAAAGGAATTGCCGCAACAATGGGACAAAAGAAAGTCCGAGGAGGTCGCTGCTCGCCTGGACCGAAGCGCAGCTCGGCGGCTTGGCTGTGAGTTTCGGCCGTGATCGAAGCCTGACTTGGAGCCGACGCTCCACAGCCCGAGTTCGGACACTGGCCGCCTTGTCGCCTTTCCGGAGCTGTCGAACCGGTCAGCGACGGCAGCGCAGGAAAAAAAGATTCGAGCGACATGTTTGTAGTCAGGTCACCCTCTTCAGCTACGAAAAATTTACAAATTCGTGCGATTTCTTTCCCTGCATTTGAAGTCACGACGGCGATCGTCGCCTTTGATTTGCTTGGCAAATGATGCGCTGGTCGCATCCCTAAGATCGGCGGGGGAGCTGCGGGCGCCCGGCGACACTGCCCTCCCTGCCTTTGTGGCCCTTTGAGCGAAGGGGCAGTGGGAGCCCGTGATTTGGGTCTCTCTGCTTGCTCCGGAAGGCAGCGCTGGTTTTCACGCCCTTTGTTTTTTTATGTTAATACCGGTTTCCAGCCGCTGTTTACGTCTCGCTCATCCCCGCTTGGTTCTTGTCTCCCCGCTTCCTTTCACCATCTCTCCATTTCCAATTCAACACGTAGTTGTCTTTGTGCTATTATCGGGCACTTTATACTGGGATAAGTTAGGCAATTTAACTGGCCCCTGGTTCATTGAAAGGCACTGCTTTATCTTTCAGTGGCTTTTAAAAGCTTTTTAAAAGCCCCCCACACAGCCGAGTGTCGTTGTCACCGCCGTTATGGGGATATGCTGTAGAATCACCTTATCCTCTCTGGCTTTCTCAGCCTTTCAAGCGGGATTTTTGTACAAAACAGGCCAAACCAGAGTGTCTGTATGTGTGTGTGTGGCACATATGGAAATTCATGTGAAGAGGGATGTGTCACCTGCCAGTCACTCCGCGTCTTTGCTAAACACCGTTTGTAAGCCGCTGTCAGAGTCGGTCGCGGCCGCCGGATCCTGAAGCGGTGAGACCAGTGATGGGGGGGGTCATGTTACTGCCTGGACCATGTTCCCATTCTAGCAAAATAGAATTTGATGAGTCGATCTTTTGTGTAGCTGCGCAACGTTTCGCCTTTCCCCAGCAACAGTAATGTCTCTGCTCTCTGGAAGCGTTAAGCGTGTGTGGCTGCAGTCACTCCGGGTCGCTGCTGGCTGTTTGGGCTGACATGTGCGCCTCTGGCCGCAGATCTGTGTCCTCTTTTTAGCTGTCAGGGGATTAGATGCGGTAAACATCTCTCAAAATGACATGTGCTTACGGATGTAAGCTGTCAGTTAAGCTTTGATTACTGCCGAATTACTGTTCGCATTAAATATGTAAAATGTGCAACATGTTTGTTTTGTATACTCATTTCGGGGTATATCATACACTACCTCTTGATCTTTTTTTAAACATTTTTTGTGCTTTTTATACTGTGTAGTGTTTGCCAGGTTGAATGTCTCTGCCAAATCATGGAAAAGGAGGCTTCTTCTCCATTATTCATTTCCACTGCACACTATAACCTTGAGGATCTGGATGGACATCTGCATTGTCTCTGGCTAGCAAGGTCTAACTGTTTTGTATCTACATAACAAATCCTTCCCTAGATGTTTTCAGCTAGCTGTTGATTTGAAAAGGCTATCTGGACATTTTTTTCTTAAATATGTTCACCGTTCAGATTTATTGCTTTCCTTAATCAGAGATTTTTTTGTGTGTGTGGTTCTCCGACAAAATTGAGTCACAAAACGTGGCCAAATTGTAAACATGCCATCTGTAGAATGTGAATCTGTGCTATTTGAATCACTACATTTGAACTGACTCTGCAGTCCCATTATCTTATTAAACAATATTTTGGGAAGGCAGTTCCCCCAAATGCTCTGCCTTCAGTTTTTTCTATGGCTTTCTCCTAATTCTCCACCCACTCGTGATGTGAAACAGCAGCTTATTGTGTATCTCTCTGACGTAGATTCTGTACAGCTGAAGGTTTGTTTCAGTGTCTTGTTTTGCTCCTTTTGTAGTACAGAGGACGGGTGAGGCCACTCAGCGTATCAACCTCAACTGACTAGCCCTTATGCAGGACTGCTTACATTAGGAAGCTTTACGTTTCTCAGTTTTTTGCTGAGGTTATCTGATCCTATCTCATCTCGATTCATTGCCTAAAACAGCAGTTACCAGAAACACGACAAGCTTTTCTATCATGAAGATTTTCTCTCTCAATGACTAGAATTAGGTTGATTTAATTGTATTATTTCAAAGAGGCCAATAAAAGCAGATATTGATTTAAATGTGGAATCTGTAGCAGCAGACACATTGTGCTTAAGTGGCTTTTCTCCTGGTGTTGCTTTTGTTGTCATTTTAAAGAGTCTCGTGACTTAATGTCAAAAGCAATCAGGTTTTTCTGCATTTATCCTGCTCGCTGTCTTCCTAGGGACTGCTGTCATGCTGCGTTTGTTGGAAGTCATGCAAATTTGTTTCCTGGCTTTGACTGTCGTGTTGAGGTTTTATGGCATCCAATTTTAACAATGTCACACTGGGCAAGAATGCCCAGTGTGACTGTGTCACACTGAATTTTGGTCCCATTTCTCGTTTAAGGAGCCAGAGCTAAACTCCGTGTGGAAACCATGCTCCCTGGACCCCATGAAGCCCCTCTGGCCAAATCTCTGCTACTAATAACCGTGGCCCTCTTTGGCTTTATTTCTCTGATTTGCTTTTGCAGATGGTCAATATCCTGTAATTGGCCCAATGCTCTACCACAACACAAGAGCAAAGTTCAACAAGGACCTATAGAATAGAAACAGAGTATCTAAAAGATAAATAGCAGATAATCAGTGAGTGAGGGTGTGGGCCTGCCTGTGGAATCACGCACCTGCGCTTTGACCCGGGAAGTTTGCTCACCTTGTGGCCATCAGTCTTCCCACTGTCTGTCAGGGGCTTTGCTCAGATGATGCTCATTTCACCGACTCTGTGTGAGTATGCCTGCCTGCCTGCCTGTCTGCCTGCCTGTCTGCTTGCTTGCCTGTCTGCCTGCTTGTGTGCCTCTGCCTGTCTGCCTGCCTGTCTGCTTGCTTGTCTGCCTGCTTGCCTGTCTGTCTGCCTGCTTGCCTGTCTGCCTGCTTGTGTGCCTCTGCCTGCTTGCCTGTCTGCAGCCTGTGTCTGTCTGCCTGCTTGTGTGCCTCTGCCTGTCTGCCTGCCTGCCTGCAGCCTGTGTCTGTCTGCCTGCTTGTGTGCCTCTGCCTGTCTATGCCTGCCTTTGTGCCTGCTTGCCTGTCTGCAGCCTGCCTGTATGCACCTGCCTGTGTGCTTTTGTCTGCCTGCTTGCCTGTTTGCCTGCCTGCCTGCTTGCCTGTCTGTGTGCCTGTGTCTGTGTGCTTGTACCTGCCTGTGTGTTTGTTTGTAATCTCTCTGGTAGTGTTTCCCTTTATTATCCACTGCTAATGTAATTTCTCCCATTTTTCAAACTCGTGCTGTAAATCATTTTCAGAATCAACCGCGGGGCTATAATGTCCCTCTCAGGGCAGCTAATTGTTCTGTAAAACCAGTCCTGTCCTCCCTGTTTTTTTTTTTTGTTTTTTTTTACGCTGCTGGTTTCCTCATTCCTTCCTTTGCTCTTTTGACTTGGTCCAAACCCTCCCAGCTGCTTCCCCCTGCCTCTTATTCATG